ACAACGTACTCCACAACTAGACTGAAGAACAAAAGGACAGCAACTTGTCTGTTCCCCTTCCCCCAATTCCCCAGCGCTGTTCCCATCCCCCCTTCCCCAATAAAAAAAATCTTTCAAAAAAAAAAAACAGAATTATAACCTTCCACTTAAAAAAAGTAAAGAAAAATATTCACAGAACTTAAATCTTACAATGAAAAGAATACATGAAAATAAAATGTTCAGTAGCTGAGGGGAAGGAAATAACCAACTCCATTAAAAAATAAAAGTATAATATTTAAGATCAGTCATATTATATGAAGAGTTTACTTTCTCCCTAATTAGGAGAATATAAATGTTTAAATAAAGATCCTCCTAGTCTAAGTATCACATTTAAATTCAGATAAATTACCAACAGTTTATTGTAAAGAAAAATAATAAAAATAATATACTAAAGAAAAATAATAAAAATAATATACCTAACTATGGAGAGCTGAAGCCTAAAGATTCATTTAACATTCAAAAGGGAACAAATATTTTCAATTATCACTAATTAATGCAAAATATCCTAAGTCTGTTTATTCATTCCTTTAATATTGTAATTTCACTTTTTTACATAGTATTTTGAAATGAGAAAAGTTGCAAGTCTGGTTTTGGACTTTGCTACTCCCTCCTTATTTTAATGCCGCTTCCTTTCTCAACTCAATTTTGGATAAAGGCATACTGTTTAATATGCCCCCTCCAATATATGCCCCATCTCCTCTGCCACCACCTCCCTGTCCTGCAGCCCCCATTGCTTTTGTTTCCTGAATAATGATGTTTTTGTTTAGATTTTATAAGGAGAATCGTACTCAAAATTTCCCTTACAAAAATATTTACTCCATTCCTCCGTGTCACTCAATCACAGGTTTGCCTGAGTTACTAATGATTCAAGATTACTACTTCAGGTCTTAAGACTTTAATCCTTCTAGAAAGTTATTTGGTCACTTGTTAGATCACAAAAAATTTTTTAAAGAACAAAGTGAAACGAACATCTTTCTTCTAAACTAAGATTCCAAATGATCAATCTAGTTTGATATCTAACTCTTCTCTTGATGCCTGTATGAAGCAGTAACACTGTTATATGAACTAAACCTACTGGATACTCAGTTAAACCGTAAGGTCCTTAGTAAGTCTCTTAATAAAAATTACTTTGGGGCCAGCCGAGTGGCGCGTTGGTTAAGAGCTGGCTTGGGACACCAGCTCTGAGCAACAAGGCCCTGGTTCGGATCCCACATGAGGGCCAGTGACACTGCCCTCCACAGCTAAGATGCTGAACAACANTCTAGTTGTGGAGGACGTTGCTTCACTGGCCCAAGTTGGCACCATCATTGCGCTCTTCCCGGGCAAGGCAGATCAGTCACTGGCTTCTGGATGGCCACTCACTGTGGCTGCTGGCCGCTCCCGCTGGGTGCTGGCTTCACACGGTAGCCCATGGCAACCCTCTGCAAAGGGGCTGCAGCCTACGCCGTTGACAGCGACTCACAGCAGCCCAGCTCCAAGTTGAACTGTTGTTCAGCATCTTAGCTGTAGAGGGCAGTGTCACTGGCCTTCATATGTGGGATCCGAACCAGGGCCCTCTGGCATCCCAAGCCAGCTCTTAACCAATGCGCCACTCGCCGGCCCCGGGACTAGAGGTTTTAAAATTATAGAGTCAAACCAAAATAGCAGAGACATAGTTTAGTTTTAAAGACAGATAAACACATTTAGGTAACTATAATTGAAGGGATAAAGGGACTGAAGGCATGGATGAAAATGACTGTATTCTCAGTTGACATTAGTGATTATTGGTTCAAAATTCAATCAATACTACATATTTTGCATTTTAACAAATGAATTAATTGTATATATAAAATGCTTAACAGTGCCTAGTACACTTATACAAGTTTTGCTATTGTTATATTATTAACAACGAAAAGGAAAAAAGCGGGAAAGGCACAAAAATGTTGACCAAAACTAAATCATTAATTTGGCTATTAAGGGACTTGTTGTTATACTTCAGAAATAATCAGTCATGGAAAACTAGCTGAAACAAACTATCAAGCTTTTTCATGTTAAATGGTAAAACACAAAACAATAAGATTTTTAAACAGTAAAATTCTTGGAAGGTAAACAGAAGAAAACTCACATGGACCCCAAGTTGGAAAGGATAAAACTTAAATTGAAGACCACAACTTGAAAGAACACTAAGTCAGGAATGATTCCATTCTGTAACGCTGAGAAGAATGATACTTTCAGTGCAGCTATTCTACATCTTTTCAGTGCTTGGACCACCCGAATGGTCCTTCCTAGATAATAAACACCTTTTGCTTGCCATAGAAGAAAGCTGCTAAGACCTCCTGTAAAATCTGGCAGAAGCTACTTCAGTAAAGCCTTCATATCACCTGTATATTATTTGGTTTTGTTGTTTTTGTCTATATGTAAATTAAATGGCTTCCCTCACCTTAGTTCAAGGCCAAAACAAAGAAGGATCCCACTACTTTGTTTTGGGGAAGGAGTAGATAGTTTGATAACATAGTTTCTGAGTTTTGGTTAATTGATTTCTCGCAGAGGAGTCACAAATGAAGTTGCTAGCTCCTTCCTTTATTCTCACTCTTCTCCTTACACTGATGAAAATATTTACTGAGACAACAGATATCTACCCTCAGAGACACCTGAGTATCCCAGAGATCCATACTTTAGTGTGATCATCAATACTCAAGTATCTACCAGGGAAGAACATAAAAACTGCTTAAAACAAACAAAAAATCTTTGTCTTGAGGATGACAACATAATTGTTCCATCAAGTACAGATAATATCTGATCTGTCTTAAAGATAAGGCAACATGACCTCTTAAAATTATTCTGAAAGCTACCTGAAGAACATAAAGTCTACTACATTTAAAACCACTAAAAAGTATTATGTTTATGTTCTAAAAGAGAGGAAGAAGTGAGCATCTCTGGATTTGGAAAACAGCTTAGAAACCTAGTATAAATACAAATACAATTCTGAAAACCACAGAAATGTAGCAGTGCCACAGTCTCTGTATCTCCTAAATTTACTAGGAAAAGGCTCAAGAATTCTCCCTGAGTAGTTAACACCAACTGAGATAGTGATGTAATTTGTTTCTCAAGGGAGACCAAATCTCTTTTCTGACATTTTAACTACAGGCATACCTACGAGATATTGTGGGTTCAGTTCCAGACCAATGCAATAAAGCGAGTATTGCAATAAAGCAAGTTATAATTTTTTGCTGGAGGAGGAGTGTTACCTTTAATTTGGAAAAAACACAACCTCTGTGAAGCGATAAAGTGAAGCACAATGAAACGAGGAATGCATGTACTAAAGTTATTTTCACAAGAAGCAAAATGGTAATTTAAAATGACAAAATATGCTTATCAATTACAGCTGGTAACCAAATTTAAACCAAAGTCAAAGCTTTAGAATACTCATCTCTATATTAAGATTCCAACATTAATTTACAACCTAATCATATGTGCCTGCCTAAGGAAGAAACTGTGTGCTTTTTTCAGATATAAAGAATTATAGGGCCGGCCGAGTGGCACGTTGATTAACAGCTGGCTTGGGACACCAAGGGCCCTGGTTCGGATCCCACATATGAGGGCCAGTGACACTGCCCTCCACAGCTAAGATGCTGAACAACAGCTCAACCTGGAGCTGGGCTGCC